AACAACAATTATTGAAGATTTCCAGAGGACTTCACCATTGAAATTTCCGATACCGCGCCGTGACGTCACTAACCAGTAGGTGGCAGTAGTGTTCTTTGACAAACATGGATGCCTCCAGTAAAGCACATTCACATGAAAATTACTCTGAATTAAAAACACTGATCATTTATTGAACAGGATGGAATCATTTCAGATTTAAAGAACTTTCAGAAGTTTGAATTCTGAATATGAGCGACTTTTCCTTTAAAGTACTTTGTTACATTTTAATATATTCATTCTTTCTAATAATATAATTCTTAATAATAATTGTTGATATGATGATTAATTTTTTTACATAATTATTCTTTTTTTCAGACAGTAAAGTTTTTCTCTTCCTCCAGGTTATTTTATTGAAAGATGCCGTTTTATGTTATGAGTTATAATTTCTATTGTTGTTATTTTTTTTATTATATATCATTTTCTGACAGATTCTTTCACTTTTTTCTCCCTTTTTCTTCAAAATATGATGTTTTTCTCATTAAATTGAGGCGCCTGGTTATTGGGTTCCTATGACCAGTAAGAGAAGCACTTCCTCCCAGTAAGCAGGTGGACGGGTCGGGACGTCCCCGCCGTGAGGGACAGACAGACGAAGCTAACGTGAACGGTTTTGGACGTGAGCAGCGTGTTGGACTGACCTGTCTGCAGAGGAACAGCTGGGCTGGGCTGGTCCTGCCGTCCCCTCTGGATCCGGACTGTGGCCCACTGTGACACACGAGCAGCTTTTCAGCAACGCTGCTGGAGCTTTAAGGGACACTGACACACAACCAGAGACATTACCTCCAGGATTTGGACCAGAAGCTGGATGTAGAGTCCCGTGACGCCCAGAGAAAGGCCGAACATGGCGGGGAGCGTGATGAAGAACACCACCACAAACATCCACAGCTGGAAAATGGCCGCCGCCACACTGCATAGGTCCTCCATGGCTGTGGTCAGGTCACCTCATCATCTGCAAACCATGAACCTTCTCAGTGACACCATCAGGCTGTGAAATGAGTGAGTCTCTGTCTGCTGACTCGGTTACTTCCACTCATCTGGAAGATCCAGATGTTTTAGAAACTGGTTCTCCTACCTGGTTCCTTCATTCTCACTGTTACCTGCTGGTTCTGGAGGTGGATGGGAAGAACCTGCACCACAGAACTTCTGGGAGTCCATAGATCCCACAGCTCATTTGCTCTGACTATTAAATTACCATAGAAGAAGAGCTGTGCCTCCACTTCGCTCTCAATCTGCAGGTTTACTAGTGGTTCCTAGAATTTCTAAAAGTAGAATGGGAGGCAGATCTTTTAGTTCTCAGGCTCCTCTCCTGTGGAACCAACTACCAGTTTTAGTCCGTGAGGCAGACACCCTGTCTACTTTTAAGGCTAGGCTTAAAACTTTCCTTTTTGATAAAGCTTCTAGTTAGAGTGGCTCAGGTTATCCTGATCTATCTCTATAGTTCTGCTGCTATAGGCTTAGACTGCTGGAGGACATAGGGACCCCTTTTTCATCATTCTGCTTCATTCTACCTCTATTCTCCCACTCTGCAGAATCTGTTAGTTCAATCTCTAACGTTCTGCTCTCTCTGCTTTTTCTCATAGTAGCTTCATCTGGTCTGTTCCTGTTTGGCTGTGACTCCATCCTGGAGAGAAATATCAGCTGTGCTGCTGCCATCAACACCTTTGTTTCTAGATGTTGGAGCTTGGCCTGTTTTCCAGTGTAGTCCTGTTTCTCTGACTGTGACTAACTGGATGTGCTCTCTTCATCCTCTGACATGGGAGCTGGCTCGGAGCTCGTCTGCCTGGCTGTGTGTTTCCTGGACGGGGCCGCCTGTGGAGCTGGTTGACAGTTGCCTTTTGTATCTATGCTTCTTTTTCTATGTCTGCTTCTGTCTCCTTGAACCCCAGTGGGCCTCAGCAGATGGCCGCTCACACTGAGCCTGGTTCTGCTGGAGGTTTCTTCCTGTTCAAAGGGAGTTTTTCCTCTCCACTGTCGCTACAAGCATGCTTAGTGTGAGGGATTGCTGAAGAGTCAATGAGTCGATGCAATCAGCTGGTTTTCCTTAGATAGAAAACTTTGAATCAATCTGACTGGATGATCTGGTGAACTGGAAAGTGACCTGAGATGATGTGATGTGAATTGGAGCTATAGAAATAAACTGAATAGAATTGGATTTCGTACTGTTGAGTTAAAAGGTGAATATAACAAAATCTGTATTTCTTGTAACAAAAAAAAATCTACCAAGATCTTTTTTTTAGGTAAAGTCTACATATCTAGATCTACTGGATTCTATTATCAGCTTCTATAAAACAGTAAAGGTCATTTTCATTGTTTTCTTGAAAAAGTAAAATATTCATTTTTCTGCAAACAGCAGCAGTTAGATCAGAACAGCATGTTACACAATAACTGGATAAACAACAGAAGTTCATCATGACCCAAAGGCAGCGTTAGAGGAAAACACCGAACCTGAGCTAAAAACCACCGAACCGAACCGAACCGAACCGAACCGGCAGAACAGACCTGACAGGCAGCAGCGGGGAGTCCGGTCCAATGTCCGGCTGCTTCCTTCGCAACAGCTGGCTGTTCGCCCGGGGGGCAGAGGCCACGCCCCCCGCCGACGTCACGAGAGCTGGACCGCTTTAAGATCTGGACCAGAAAACACGACCTAAAGAAAGAAAGAAAGAAAGAAAGAAAGAAAGAAAGAAAGAAAGAAAGAAAGAAAGAAAGAAAGAAAGAAAGAAAGAAAACAAAACAAAACATTTATTCAACAATAATTAACATAACAACAATAGATTATTACATTAGCAGCTTGTTATATTTTAGTTCTACCTGATCAGAAAAAGTGGAAGGAAGGAAGGAAGGAAGGAAGGAAGGAAGGAAGGAAGGAAGGAAGGAAGGAAGGAAGGATTTCTTTATGTATTCATAAAGGTTTTTGTTGCCATTAAACTGGGATCTGCAGGTTATTCAGACAGAGACCAGGAAGCGGTTCTTTTTCATCTCCTTCTGTTGGCTAAATATGTCTCAGCTTATGTCTCCGTAAGAACAATATGTCAGTCAGATCCCTCTTTCAGAGAGAGATGCCGTCTCTTCCTGCTGTCATTGGAACCGTTTAGCTGCTGTGTCCTGGAAACAGACTTGGCTGTTAATTGATCACTTTCTCCTCACTAACAAGGTGAAGGAAGTTTCATTCAAACTCTTTCACAGGATTTATCCTGCCAAAAACTACCTTAAAAAGCTCCAATCTGATATTATTGTGAGCTGCACTTATTGAGATCTTCTTCCACTCATTTGTTCTGGTTTGATCCAAACTCTAAGACTTTCTGACTTTTTCTGGATCCAAATATTTAAAAACATTTTCTACTTCGTTGGGAAAAGGTTCTTTTTGGTTTTCAAATAGAATGGGTTTTCTCTTAATTATCTTGGCTAAATTTCACTTGCATAAATTAAGATTTCTAAAAAAACAAAGAAAAAGCCAGACTTTGTTGTGTTTTTTCACCAAAATGGACAAAATAAAACTATATCAATCTGTTCCCTACTAAACATTCTGGACAATTTAATGTAGAACACATGTGAATGAGTAGAATATATCTGTATAGATATGACACTCAGAATATCTGTCTGTCAGTTTGAGTTTCCTCCTGAGTGTCCTTGTTTATTGTGACATTCCCCCTGAAATATTTGTTTGTTTATGTGTATATTTTAAATATTATTGTGGACTTTGTGTGAAATAAAGAAACAAAGAAAGAGAGATTGATTTAGCATTTCAGTTTTAGTAACACATTGGCTGATTAATTAGAATCTACTCATCAAATGTGATATTAAAAGTCCTTGTTGTTTTGAATTGGAAGCTCTTTTTATCAGTTATTCGAAATAAATATCCGATTTGTTTTATTTTGTTTCGGTGAATTATATTCCTTAGGTAAAATAACTGAATAAATATGGAGTAGCAATCATACCATAGTTAAAAAATATGTGAAAAATAAAAAGCAATCCAAGCTGAGCTAATAATGGTTCCACCTCCTCCAGTCCGGTAGGGGGCAGCGCTGCGCTGAGCGGCCGACCGCCCGCCGCTCAGAGCAGCGCTGAAGAAGGACGCGGCGGTTCGTGTTGAACTTCTAGGCGTCATGTCGGAGCCTAATGTCCGCATTTCAGGCACAGTTTTAGCTTCTCTCATGTTCCAACATGTCAACAGCGACTCGGACGTGGTGAGGAAGTTTTTCTTAACTTGTCATAGACGCGCTAACGGGACAGCAGCGCCAAGCTAACTCACCAAACTCCGTAGAAAGATGCTTCAGGTCTGAGAGAAATGCTTCCCAGAGACAGAAAGGCTGCAGGAGAAACCGATCAGATGTCTCATCAGTCCTGGAACACACTGTAGATCTATTCGGCTTATTTTATAAATCTAACTGAAGTATTTCTATGGTTTATTTCCCACTTGAATCCTTTTGTTTTGCTGAAAGGTAGAGAAAAAAGTTCTGATCTCATAATCTGAGTTTATAATTCCAAAGTTTAATGATATGAAACATCAGAAACCACAAAAAAGGAACAGAGAAATAAATCAGAATTTATTGTGATTTGTTCTAATCAACAAATGATGAAGTAATAGAGTTTACTTCTCCATAAACCGAAGATCCACAATTTTATCTAGACTGTAAATATCTTCCATCCTGTTACTGTCCTGGAACCGCAACTTTAAGGTGGAGCTCTCTCTGCTTTAAGGTGGAGGTCTGTGCTTTAAGGTGGAGGTCTCTCTGCTTTAAGGTGGAGGTCTCTCTGCTTTAAGGTGGAGGTCTGTGCTTTAAGGTGGAGGTCTCTCTGCTTTA